GTTTCGTGATTTAATGACTTTTCTCAAAATCGTTTTAATTTAGTGATGAAAATGGTTAACAAGAGTCAAATTACAATATGTATACCTGTCATGTCGTTAAGACACTTGTCAAGTTGAGATTTTAAATGTATGTTAGACGTCTGCTTTAACGAACATAAGGTATATGTATTTGTAATTACTGTTTATGATGGTATAAGCTTGTGTACTAAGGTAAACGTATTGTTCATCATAAATTAAATTTTATGTACTAAGTGCTTTTTCTCAGTAAAATATTCGAAATTTAATCGTCCGGGCCCCTTTTTTTAATCAAAAGACGGATGTTATCAGAACAATGACATTCAATCAGTTAGGAAAAAAAAAAACAAATATTTTGAAACTTTTGAATAAGGCATACCATTCAGTTGAAAACTTTTACTTTACTGAGAAATTCAGTTACTTGAGAGATAAACAATTGGAATTTTATGAATAGAATTTTCAAGTTAGCATTTATCTGATAATATTCCATAGATGTTTACTACATATTAATCTTACATTTGAACAAAATAACTATTCACTATTAAATCTTTTTTAATATATGGATAGACATAGATGAAGTGGTTTTTAGAGGTTATTTTATTATGGAGGCGAAATTCGTAACTGATCAATCTTGGGGATTAAAGGACATCTGCCCAATCCTTGTGCTGGTCTTCCCAGGACCTTCAGGTTTATCAGAGAGTGCTTAACATTTATAAACATTAAGTTTACACCTAATAATTTATATTTCTAACTCCAATCAGTTCGAGTTATAAAGTTATCTTCATCCATTTCTATTAATGACGACTTTTCTACTCATAACTTGTGTGAATTTCATTGATCATGATCTATAATTAAATCTTTAAGAATCTATTTTAAAGTAAGTCGTTAGAGAGCTGGAGATTTTTGTTTAGACAAACTACTTTTGTGAAAATTAGTTTGATATGTAGGTGATTTATGTCACATATTGATCCCATTCAGAATGTTTTTGAAAGATGGGGAGCAATAAACAACTATCTCATCAGATATTATTAGTTCTTCATTAAACAGTTAATAAAATCTGTCATTCTCTATATTATTATTATTATTATTATTATTATTATTATTATTATTATTATTATTATTATGAGTGGCAGTAATGGTATTAGTAATTGTAGTAGTAGTATATCAGAGTTTTGCATCATAATATGATTTTCAATCAATAAAGTCATCACATTACTTTAATCGCAACTGGGTATTCGATATAAGAAATTGATTTAATTGGTCAAACTGTATTTATTTAAATTATATATACATTAATACACCAACTATTAAATGTCTATGTTGAGCTACTTAAATATTTTGTTCATTCCCTTTCTTTGAAAATATTAAGTCAAAAACAATAATAATAAAACGGTGTCATTTCGTCAGAAATATTAAAATACATTTTCATCAGTAACCTATATCGAAACATGGTTTAGCTTATTTAACTATCCTGTATATCCTGGTTTCTAATAGTTTTCTAAGATCAATCATTGATGCAAAGTTTAACAATCTCCATAAACTCTTTATACTAATTAAAATATCATTATTTCATAGGAAACTAACATGCAATAAATGTTTATTATTTCCACTAAGTTTCCGCTTTGTATTTGTATTTTTAAAATAAGCTATTATCAAAACAACACGTAATGAGACTAGATATAGTTCCATTTGTATTTGTTTATTTCTTTTTTAAGCAATATATATATTCATACAGATAGACAGTTTAACAGTATATCAATAGTGCCCGGTATACTGGATGTTAGCTATCCACAAAAGAATATCTCATTCAAATATTGAAATTTATTAACTAAGATCAAATAGATAAGACCATATTATGTGTTAGTAATCTGTTTTTCAAAACTTAAGTTTTATAAAATAAGGCATACCGAAATCCACTGTTAATAAGAACTATAATTTCTGATACATTCTTGTTTAATAAATCTTGAGTACAATAAATCTTATATTTGTAAATCTTTCACCAACAAGTAACTAATAACAACTTCATACGAAAATATATTTTGAAATAAAATTTTATCACATATACACGGGATGTACTGCTATGGTTGTTAGTCAGTAGATCATGTTATAAAGTAATGTAAAATTGGTGGATGTTAATAAGATTCAAACTAATGTTTTGCATTAATTTACACTAATTATCAATGAATATCTTTAAATTTGGAGGGAAAAGCATATGACCCTTGTTTCACTCAATATCACAGTCAAACACTTTGTTGTTGAGATATTTGGGTTGCCTCCTGTAGAAATGAGTTATTTGAACATTAATTGATCATTTACTAATTTTAATTGTTGGTAGAATTCTATCAATTAAGTTATAATGCTTCTATTTGACTAAGTTATTCAAAATTACAATGTATACAAACTTATCTTAAAAATGATTGATTCTATAAGTAATTTGTACCATGTAGTATTTTGTTGTGTTGTTTCATTCTGATGTTTTTCTAAAAGGAATAAATGCAATGATTCTAAATGAGTAATACCAAATAGAAACCATGGTTAGTAAATGAAAGATCACTTATATGTGGAAAAATATGAGAATAACTCATTCATTAATGCATCTCTCTAAATAAATATGGTTTAACTAAAGCAGAAAAATGTACTTTAAATATCTTCTTTAGTAGTAATTCTTCAATAAGTTATTTAGGTGAGCTAGATAATTGATTATTATTTTTGCCTCTTATCAATACCATTGAAAAACTTCAGAACATCAGACAGCTGTTCCGCACTTCATCGGAACTCCTTGTAGGATGAAAGAACAACTTCAAACCCTGGATTTTAGGGCCTCGCAGTGTAATTCAATTAAATAGCTTAAACTTCAAATGTTAGTTTGTCAGAGTGAGCATTTAAAAACATCTTTATGTCAGTTTATTGACTATGTTATCAACTTAGTTCTTATCTATTTATTAATGTATACGTATTCATTTAATTTCGAACACAATAAATGAAATCTTTGTCACTTGAGGCTTAATAATGTCAAGTTTCGATGAATATATTTTGCTGCTATCCCAGCTTAAGAAATGAATTTGATTTTTTAATCAAATAATTTGCTAGAATATATATAATCCACATACACATCATGACATTTATAAATAAATAACATGGTTACTTGGCTTTTCTTAAATTCGTTTTTCATCCAACTTATGTTATTTGTGCACATACGGATATATATTACAAAACACATAACTTACAGGCTTCTAATGATCTTTTGACCTCACTTCCTCTTGATTAGAATTATGAATATCAAGATTGATGTCACAAAGTAGAAATGATGATGAATGTATGTGCTATAATGCTTGATTTTCCTAATCAGATAAGAATTGGTTACATGAATAATAACTTCTATTTATGTAAAGCCATATGTATGCAAATTTACACTTGCCTAATCATCTTTTGTCTGAGTGTGTGTATGTGTGTTTGGGTATACATTTATTTTCTTTGAAAGAATTGATGTTCAATTCAAGAAAGCGTTTGAAAATTTATTTTCCTTCTTTCTGTGGCTTAAATGATCAATACACGATTTGATGTATCAAAAACTTTATTTATTTGTTCCCAGTTGGGTAATTCACATGCAACCTGGATTCGTAAATATGAGTGAATCTATTAGTTTTTTAAACCACTGAAGAATTTTAATCAACGAAAAACAGTAACAGAATGTTTATGCTATCTTATACACAGGATGTAGGAATAGTATGAGTTAATTGGTAAACAGTCTAACCTAAAGTTTTAAAATTATGTACCTTTTCTTTCAAAGTGAAAAATATGATAATGAGGCACTTTAAAACTGTCAAAAATCTTTTAAAGACAGTGTTGAATTGGAAGGATTAATTTGATCTAGTATTGTTTCTCACCAACGAACTTAAGTTGGTGATTTCGAACCTCGAATTGTCAGTTCTCTGTTAGGCAGTAATCAGTGGATAGATATCATGTCAATTGGGATTCCTTGAGTAAGACGTCTCTGGAATCCTGAAGAGACTGATAGTTTCTGTCGAGTTCCATGCTATCGAACGTTTAAGTTAAGGAGATTATTAAGTTTTTGATTGAGATCATGAATCGACTGATGTTAGACCACCGTTGGAAACCTGGAAGCACTGGAAGGCCGTTTCGTCATAGTACGGGACTCCTCAGCAGTGCGCATCCACGATCCCGCTCGCGGGCCTTCAGTCTCGCGCGCGAACTCTTAACCTACTGGACCACTGAGCTGGATGCGCTCTGCTGAGGAGTCCCATACTAGGACGAAACGGCCATCCAGTGCTACCAGGTTTCCAACGGTGGTCTAACATCGGTCGATTCATGATCTCAATCAAAAAGTTTAAGTTAAGGATTTTACCAAAGACCTTGTGAAAAACTCAGATATTTGGATTAAATTGCTTTAAGTACTGTTTCTTAGTATCGGTCATCTTCTGTCAATCTCATCACAGCACAGATACTAGTCTAACCTATATATATAAATCAGCTTCCATCTGGAGAGGAAATTAGGAAAGTACGATGAAAGTGGTTAGGATATAGATTACAGAAATCATCAAACTGCATCACGAGACAAGCACTAACTTGGAATCCTGAAGGGAAACGGAAAAGAGGAAAGTCAAAGAACATAGTGGGTCGAGAATTGGGAGCAAACATTCGAAATTTTAATAGGAACTGAAAAGAACTTGAAAGGATTGTCCAGGAATGCTGGTGGACGACCTATGCTCCTTTGTGAGGGGTAATAGGTGTAAGTAAGTGAGTAAGTGTAAAGTCCAACCATCATTCATGATATTGTCATTTTCCCAAATCTAAACAGCTGATCAATAGTGTGACTGGTTCTAGGTCTAGAATTCTAGTTATTTTGGTTGTATTTATGAATATATCCTATATGATATATCAAAGAAATCAATACGTAATTTGCTTTTCTTTACCTTAACATTCTGTAAAACAAGACTCTTATCTACCTTTCCGTTCTTTTCCAGAACAATTAATTCATTCAAACAATACACTTTCTGAAGTTATAACGAAAACATTTTCATCAGTTTCAACTAGAAAATTATGAACAGTGAAATTTATGGTGGCGAAACACTGTTAGGATTGTTTAGTCCACCAACAGCTGGTCAATTATTACCGAATTTATTATTACCACCAAACGAATCATCCAACTCATCAATTGATGTTCATAAATTAGCTATGTCATTAAATTCTAATTCTACACAGGGAATTTCCAATATGAACAAAATTAATAATAATAACATTTTGCAACCTTTACAACAACAAACACAAAGACAAAATCCTTATGAACATCAAGAATATTTTTCATTGAGAAATTCATTAATAGGTTCATCAGTTACATCAGGTACGACTGCAGCATCTGGAACAGTGACACCACCGACAATAACAAATGGTATGCCTCCAGTATCGAATTCACTGGAACATTATTCACGATTTCTTAATTCTCGTGTCAATTCTACTAATGTTAATATCAGTGATGGTGGCAGTAACTGTCCTTATAATAATGATACAGATGAAAATGGATTAGATATGAAACAGAATATTGAAAAGATTAAAAGGTTAGTTTGACTGTTACCTATATATATCCCTACATATTGCCTAAAAAAATTCCCTATTTATAATATGATAATTAAATGAAAATTGTAAAAGGAATTAAGGTTATTCATTTGTATTTAGTGGTTAAGGGATGTACATTACGTTTCACATAATTCACTTGTCTGATACTTATTCTCAAAATAATAGCTATCACGATCATTTTAGTTAGTTTTACTAGTCATTTAATTTAGTTAATCAATAGTGAAGTTCAATTGATGAAAAATACACATTTCAAAACAAACCTAAAATTCTATATTAACGGTAAATCAGTTTAATATTGTAACAATATGACTGTAAATAAACGTTAGACGTATTCGTAGTTTTTTCTTAGGGGGGGGGGAGCTATTTATAAACATTTAATTTCAACTTGATTTCTCATCTAAAACTTAGTTGGCAAGCTATCAAAACAAAACTAACTATACAGAAAGTATTGAATAGGCGGTTTGTCCTACTTTTTGTGTAACCAAGTTTGGCTAAATGTGAATTTAAGGCCTTTATTATTTTACTGAAAGCATTATGCTTTTAGACTACTAATTAATGATCCAGAATTTTGTATTATCAACCTCAGTTCATGTGTAATACTATACAAACTTCATTTCAAACAATCTTCATAAATCTCTAATAATATTTATATTCATTTCTGTCAAAGTTTCACATGTCACAGTAATTATTGTATTGTCTCATGGATTCTTATGTTATAAATCATAACGAAATGTTTATTTTAAACGTTGACATAAAAGAATCATACCATACACTAATGCATAGATTCATGTAGGTAAATCTTCTCAAGTTTCATGTATAAACTCTTGACTTATAGACCAAAAGGCAAATTTAAACGAAGTAATGAACATAACACACAATTTGAAAACTATGTCATGAATCGAATGGATTATTTAAGCAAAGCAATATGAATATGTTTACGATAAAAAATTGGGAATTATTGTTATTGACAGATAATTCCCATTTCAACATTAAAGACACGAAGTTCAGCGAAAATATATCATTTCAACGAATTTATTATCAAGCTGTACAATCACACATTTCCTTAAGGGATTATTACTTTAACAAACAAGTTTCATATATATATATGATTGTACAGCTAGATTATTGTTATCTCATCAAATTAGTAAGTTGTCTTTCTTCTTAATACTAAATTGTATAATGTATTTCAGTTGAATTCTAAATTAATAATTCATTCATTTTATTTGTTTTGCAGTCATCCATTATTTCCCTTACTTGCTTTAATATTTGAAAAATGTGAATTAGCCACATGTATACCAAGAGATGAGAATTCCAGTAGTTCCGCCGATGTTTGTTCATCTGATTCTTTTCAAGAAGATATAAGTATGTTCACGAAAGAAGTAAGTTGAAATTATTACCTTATATATATGTTTTTGAATGATTCATATAGCTGGAGAAGACGGGACAAAATATCATAAATTAATCAATTTCTATAAATCTTATCATCTTTATATTATTTAAACATAACTTTGATAAGGCCGCTATCAAATCAATGAATTTTCATAAACAGTATTTTTACACTTCGGTTCTTATTTACACTTCAATCATTTTAGTACCATAACAACGTTTTAAAAACGGAGTTATAACAGTACACATTTAACATAGAGTTAAATATTGGTAATCTTTCATTTCTTATGTTTCAGAACTAGAAATACAATTTATAGAATCTTAATTGACATAGAAAACATGAACATTAAAATCGATTGATCACTAGGTAATGACTAGTATCATGTTTACCTAGTCCTTTCGTACTGATTAAATTCTATCGACTAGTCAATAGTAAATATTGCAGTTTAACAAAAAGTAAGTAGCAGCCCAAATTGCTAATTATTAACGCCTCGAACTGTGAAGCTAAGTAATGAGGGTTCAGATTCCACATAGGACATCAGTCACTTCAAAGTCACAGGTACGCCATGTTCATGAATGACAAATATCAAGAAACCTAGTTCGAACAAGGTTTTCTGATAACTACCTCTCACCACCCAATGCAATGAGGTTACATCTCATGAATTAGAAATAATCGAACTATAAATAACTAGAAATTTTTCGATGAACCCTATTTATCAACTTCATTGATGTCTTCCTACTACAAGTATTCTGGTTGTGATAATCAATTTGTTTTGTATTTACGGTCATTCTTAAACTAATTACAATTAACAATTAGGTTGATGTAAGTTACTTATACATGAAGATGGAAGAAGTCTTTAAAAAAAGAGCTGAGTCAATAAAAGATTACTTATAAGCACAATATATAAATACACCTTAGATTATGTAGACAGTAAATGCTTTTATAAATCATGATTTCATATTTCAATAAATATAAAACGAAATAATCATTTATGTATTTTGCTGTTAGACTCAAAGATTTGTGAAATTGTTTTTTGATAAAAGTTAGTTTTCCTACAGATTAATATAAATTGAGAAACTGTTAAGAACTAAAGAATGTTAAACATTTGTGTTTTTTCTTATGAAACTCCTCATAAATATTCATATACGAATCCACCAAGTAACTAACCTAAGACACTCAAGTCCTTAAGTGACCATGTTACCTACAAACCGTTAAACTGGTACCCATTGTTTTGAATTTTTAAGTTTACTAAAATCATGATAAGGTAAAATGTTAGTTAATGACATTTACGACTACTTGCCTCATTCTTGTTTTAATTGCACGTTTTCATTCATTACATCTTGTCAAAACTCTGAGAAATTATCTTTTAAGTCAGTCATAAGTGAGCATACTATTAGTGTTTGGTTAGCAGGTTATCTCGGGGATCTATTTAGTCAAAAAATAGGCATAAAAACTCGAACAAAATAGTATAATACAAGACTAAAGTGTAATAAAATTAAAAAAAGAAAGAATAAGTAAAAATCAATACATGTGATTATTAACAATACATTTTGGCAGTTTTACATTATTTTTGGCTAAATATTTTAATAATAAAGCGCTTATTGTTATTTTGGACATCATTTGAAATAAGTGGTGATTATTCAACTTAAAAACATGGAACCATCAAATGAATTCCCTTAAGCTCTAAATCTTTTTCATCAATTTAGCAAATTGATTGTATTCATTTGTGTACTTTTTTTCACTAATAATAAGAGGATACCTAAATTGATTAAGGTAAAGTAAATTTCAAATGATCACTTCTGTTGTTTGAGAAAAACTGACACCAGATCAATACATCCGTACACATCGTGAATTCACCTACTGTCATTTGGCTTCTAATCTTACTAAGAATTAACTAACTAAACGGAAATATTTAGACTGAAACGAATGTTAACACCATTAACTAAAATACAGTCGAAATATTTTTCTTTTAGGGATAACATAGCTGTCATTTATTCACATTACATTTATCTTAATTAATAAATACTTTCCTAAAATATTACTGGTATTCAATCATATAAAATAACTCATTTCTATCTGTTAACAAATATTTTAAATCAAAGATTCAAAATTAATACTCTAGCTAATAGAATAGACGAACTTTTTAAGTTTATAATATTTAATATCAGAAGGGGTTTTTGTGGATATCATAGTAATTTCAACGGTTGAGATCATGAGTCATTTGAAACGAGATCATCATGAAATACCTGAAAGCAATGAATGGTCGTTTTGTCCTATTGTTGAACTCCTCAGCGGTGCGTATCCACGATCACGCTTCGCGAGCTTCGAACCCAGAAGCTGTCGGTCTCGCGTGCAAACGCTTAACCATTATACCACTGAGCCGGCATCCATAGTGTTAATGTCTAACTTCCACCAATCCACGAAATTGACCGACGTATCCACCATTGTCTTCAGTGAGTTACTACCTCATAACAGACATGGCTGAACTCCATTGGTCACTGCCTCTCACTAGAACTCCAGGAAATACCTCTTGAATCCCGTCACTAGTGAGCATACGTTGATTAAAATCAGGAAAGATTTTTGTAGATATTATAGTAATTTCAGTAGTTGATATCATGAGCCAATAGAGGCTGGACCACTATGGAAAACCTGGAAGCACTGGATGGTTGTTTCGTCCTATTGTAGAACTCCTCAGCAATGCACATTCACGCCCCTGCCTCGCGAGAAACAATATTTAAAACAAAACCACTAGCGGTATTCTAGACCTTTATTTCGGAGCAAATTTATCCTTCATAAAATTTTACATATTAAAAAGATACATAGTAACTTATAAATTCATGTTATTATTATATTTTATTAGTTGTTATGAGTATATTGCCACTTACTTCTGGAAAACAATAAACATAAAACATGATAATGAAAAAAATCTGTTTTATGTTTAGTGAATTTTCTGTCATAAGGGAAAAAACAACAACAATAGGAAGAAAATGAAATTTGTGTCATTATTTAACTTTTCTTAAATTTCGTTCAATTATTCATGTTAATTTAAAAATAAAAATATTATGCGCTCATTTGATTAGTCAAATTAAGAAGATAAAACAAAGTTATACAATATTGGACATTGAACATCATGGAATAAGAAATTAACTAATTTTGACAGTTCTATATTAGTTTAAGTCGCATTTTTTTATTGAAAGATCATTATGAACAGAATATATATAATATTATTGACGCCGATATGTAATACATTTTCTGATATCTTTTGTTATATATGAAGTTTAAATAATAAAATTTATGGATAATGTAAATCATTATTCAAAATATTAATTTTGTAATTCATTCATTCTATCTTTCAGAGAATAATATCATTTTTAAAAGAATTTGACAATAATTTTTAATTACTACATGTTAGCACAGTAGGCCATCAATAAGTTGTTTTGTATATATGATGAAATACTTTGATGATCACACAATATGCCCTAGTAACTATAATATTTTTTTTCTTTCAAAAATAGTATCATTCTTTTTTTAAGACAAACGTTATTTGCTGACAGATAATCGAGATTATGTACAGAGGATAAATGTGTCGTAATTTATCTAGACTTTCTTTTTCTCGAAGTATGATACTTTATTACTTGTAAGTGGATAAAATGAATCAAATTAACCATAAAAAATATTTAGAATAGATAACAATTTTTTGGAGACTGATTGGAAGCCATGAAGCATTAGATACATTTTTCATTCTAGTTTGAAAATGATCAGTTTTATGCATTCTTGTTGCTAATCATGATCGAAAACAAGATTGTTACTTTTAACATTACACAAAGTGACATTATTTAATAAATAGATTAGAATTTAATTGTGGGAGTTCATCAATAAGTGTTCCCTGAAAATTTGGAGAGACTATTGCTGACTAATATCTATCTCATTAAGTGTCATACATAGATATAATATTACTGAGCTCTTTGGACTAGTTATTAACCTGAAAATATGACATAAATTACTCGCAAACGACTATTTAGTGTATTTGACTAAATCACTAGTTGTTATTGGGAATCTACGTATAGAAGTAATAAGTTGCTAAACTATTGAGATTACTAATGTAATTTTAAATATTAACTAAGATCGTTGGTTTCTATTGGATTGTAGACAAGCCCCAGCGGTAAATAATAATTCTAATGGTTTCTATTAATTACGTTTAAGGAATTCCAATATTAAAAACAATATACAGTAGCATTAGTCAAATAAATTTAGTGATCGCATTGTAGATTTGATTCATGAAATTCACTTAGCTTTAGTATCTAATATAAAATTCTTTTCGATTCGATCCTCAACAAGTTAGCAAGGGGAAAACTCCAAAGGGAATTCAGCACATTTTATCATAAAATCTATAACAATAAGGCTTATCTCACAACTTTGACTCAACTGAACTTAACACAAAGACAGATAATTTATCAAAGTAGTTTTAAAGAGAATTTAGATTATTTGGTGACACCCTTAATCATAACTTAAAATCAGAAGAAAACTATCAAGCTTGTAACAATTGTTTCATCCCAGTTCAATAATTCTGAATCACCACATAACAGCTGTTCAATCCTTCCACGTTTCAACAGTCCTTCAGTCGATGTCAAATAGCAAAAACACCATCTTAATCCATTGTATTGGTAAATATATTTACTACTTTTCATCATTTCCATCATGAATTATGTATGTAACATGTACTAGAGTCAAGAACTATAAATAAGTAACCATACTGGATTATTTTAGGCTAATCGACAAAATATAACATCGATAGCACATAAATCACTAAAGCATGGTCACTTTTACTTTAATAATGACTGTCTTTAAAGGTATCCTACTATAATTTAAGCTAAAAAGTCTTAAAATCCTCAAGAGTATTAGAAAGGAAAAATGAAACATACACAAAACAATGAGGTCATCTATGCATTTGAATTAAATTACACGACTAGTAAAAGTTTTTTTCAATTCATT